TAATTAGGGCATTTAATGAAGGGAATGATTTGGACACTGCAGGTTTGGTGGGGAGTAGTATGTTCAGTTAAAAGGGAACTGTGCCTTGATGAAGGCTTATTATAGCTTTGCACAGACCTGTTACGGGACAGTTTAATTCCTCCTTACCAACTAAAAGCAAACAGTTCATAGTGCCCAGAGCATTATTGTTTTTGAAGAGGCAACAGGTAACACCAATTCACTTTCAAACGAAGGTTACTAAAGATCAGCTCAAGGGAATTAAAAGAAGCTTCTAGAAAAGCTCTATGAGGGAATTGAGAAGTGTTCAACAATCTTCCAGAAATTGAGCTGAACAAAGCCTCCACTAAAACAGGTACAAAAACCTAGTTCATCCCTAAATGCATCTTTATGATATCATGTATTTCTTCTATGTGACTTCCATGTGCCACAGGGGCTAAATGCAAAGAGTATTTCTTGTCCTCATATTCGGGCAAGACAGCCTAGAGAGGATGTGGGACTGGGTCTGAGACTTAGGCCACAACAGGAAGCTCCAAGCAGTGTAAATATGGCTCTCTACCTCCACAGCACAGAAATATAAACTCAGGACCCAAGTGGGGGGGGGGTACAACTTAAAGGAAAAGAGGTAGCTCATAGCCTCCCCCAGGTATCGGCAGCTGATTTCATCTCTCCCTATTCCTATCAAGTTAATATGGTAGAGGGCTGCTGACTTGGGAGGAAAACTCTGGCACTCCCAGGCTCCCCTCAATGGAAATTTCATTCCTTAAATGGCTTCACTCTAAGAACAGCTAAAAGTAACTGGTTTCTGAGGTCAAACATGTTGGACCTCATGGATCCACGCTTCCTCCAAAACGGTATAATCACAGGCAGATGTGGGAGCTCTAGGTGATAATCTAAGAGATACAGAGAAGTACTTTGCCAATAACATTTCCCCAAGCTAACCATTTTCCTACAGTATTTAGCTCCCATTTAGGCTTTAAAATCAGAGTCAACAAAATGTCACTATGGGTTACAAAGACTCTGTGATATCTGACCAAATACGTGTTAGCGAATTAAGTATAGCTCACAACATTCCCTAAATACTCTGTTTAAAAGATCAATACTCAGTCACTTTGAGGGGAAAGAAGTAACTTTGCAATGAAGAATATTTTGACACTAAATACATGAACAGAACAAAATTATTGAGGTTAAATTTCATTCCCAACACAGACTAATAATTCCAAAACCCTGCACTATGAGATGCAAACACTGCCAAGCACTTTATGAGAGAAATTAGTCTGGGGAACTATGAGCTCTTGGGTTTGCACTGAATCTTTTTTTTTTTTTAACTGTGAATAAGTCATTTCAATCACTAGATGATAATTACAGTTTTTAAATTAAATTACCTAAATTATATGTCTAAAAAACACAGCCAACTGGAAAGTACATAATAGACTCCTATTAGCCTTTACTCATCTGATAGGTAGAGCAATAGACTAGACTTTGGAAGACCTTGGTTTTTATTTAACTTCTGCCGCTGATTATTAAAGTTTTGGTAAATTACCTAACTTTTCCTGCGCTTCAGATTTTCCATTTGCAAGTTAGATATAAAATCTGAACTGACCTACTTTGAAAGAAAACTGAGAAGAAATATTTGAAAAGCCTTTGAGTTATTTGGAAGATATAATCTAAATCCAGAGGCTGGCAGAAGTGTAAAGGCATAATTAAAGAAAGATTAAAATACTCATTTAAGTATTGTAAAATATACTGCTACTCTTCTGAATGTGCTGTATGAAAGCCTTTCATTTAGAAATTAGTAAGTATTGTAGCAATATTTCATTAAAATGCAGAGTTTCTAGATTATAAACACACATTTAAAAATAATGTTTAAAAAGAAGAAAAATGGGCCGGGTGCGGTGGCTCACGCCTATAATCCTAGCTCTCTGGGAGGCCGAGGCGGGCGGATTGTTTGAGCTCAGGAGTTCGAAACCAGCCTGAGCAAGAGCGAGACCCCGTCTC